GCAGGTGGCGGCAAGTCACTGATTTTTATCACTGAATCATTCATTCAATTGATTCATTCAAACGACTGATTCATTCAGGAACGAATGAATCAGCCTCTTTTTTTCTTTTTCTTTTCTTTTTTTTGTGGATTTTGGAGTTTAGTTATTTTACTCTTCATCATTCAAACTACTACTATGATTTGTAAGTTAAAAATGCTATTTTATTATGATTGATATACTATTATAGTTTTTTTAATATATCGATTAGATTTTATTTTATTTTTCCTGTTTTCATTATAATTTTAGTTAAAGTTTTAGTAATGTGTTGTTTTTAATAGGTTTACATTTTTTATTATTTTTATTTTATTTATTTGTTATAATTTTATTTATTCTAATTCTTCAAGTGAAACTAAACAAAAATGAGAAATGTTGTGTAAAACCATTAAAAAATTCATAACGTTAACTGAAATAAAATAAAATGCATGCATATTTCAGTTAGTGTTATTTTTTTTAATGGCTTTACAATGACCCTGAAGTTGAATCATATCTCTCTCTGTAGTGAGATTTGTTTTAGGAATCTCTAATTCCTGATTCTCAAGCATGTCGTCACTGAAGGGTGAAAGTAAGTGTGTGTGTGTGTGTGTGTGTGTAATAAGATCAGATAGTGTTTGTGTTTGGATTCCTGACACACCCACAATTCAATCTCAACTCATGTGTGCAGAAGATTATGGCATGTGTGTGAGCAGCATACCTGTGAGTGTGTGTGTGTGTGTGTGTGTGTGTGTGTGTGCGCACACGCTCTGTTTGTAGAGCAATAGATTACACTGGCTTAACTGTGTCAATGGCCTCACACGACCAGAGACGAACACGTTTACTAAACTACATAAATGAGGTCAAACAATAGACTTGTAGCATTTTATATAAAGCCAATTATGACTGCAGACTAACCTGAACCCGAAAAGAAAATGTGCATTTCAGGGATATTACATTTAACTAAAACTGAAACTAAAAGCATAATTTTAGTTTGTTTTGTTTTGTTTTTTAACTTGGGGGGGGAAAAAAAAAAGTCAGATTTTGCTCATTTTTGGAGACACATTTATAGTAAACACACCCACAATGACTGTTAAAGTGAATTGTGTTAGTTCTGGCCGGCTTTATCAAATCAAATATCCTCAATATCCTTCCTTTGTTCAAACATGATGACTTCCGAGGTGATTTGTCATGTTTTATTAGGCTCACGGCCCACGTAACACTTCCTGAATGTGATATCTTTAACCAGAGCTCGTGAAGTTGACAAAGCATTTGCTTTTTTTGAATAGCTTGTCTTTCAAATACTCACCTGTTGAAAGTCATCCAGGTAGGGGCCGGTCTTCCTGAACTGCTGTTATATATTAATGAACCCACGTGGTGTCGAGCACATAACAGGTAGTTAGCGTGATGCAGATGTGGTTCTTCTGTTTGTCATGGCGTCTCACTCCAGAGACCTGCTGAAAAGTGCTCAGAGCAAACACTGTTTTGCAGCTTACTGTAGCTGAGCAGGTTCTGGAGGGAACGGCTGCGGAGGAGTGCCAGTCGTGCCATATAATGGCATAATGTTCATAGCTTTGGGGGGAAAGTGAATGTAGCTAAAGCTGAAAATCTCAGCACAGCAGTTTTTTGCTGTCTACGTTGTTTAATTTCAATTTTTTTTTATTTTATTATTTTATTGTATTTTTATTGTATTTTATTTTTTCATATCATTTTTTATTTAATTTTTGTCTTTCTAAATGAATTTGTTCATTTCATTTTATTGTTTTAATTTTTATTGTTTTATTTATTTTTTATTTCATGTATTTTATTATTTCTTTATTTTAATTGCATTTATTTTTTATTTTTTTATTTGTCTTAATGATTTTATTGTCATTATTTTAGTTTTTTATTTTGTTTCACTATTTTTTATTTTATTTTTATTTTATTTTTATTGGTATTC